TTTAAAACTTCTAGTGTTGGTTCAAGGTGCAATTCTACTCTGATACTCTATATTCTGGCTTCTCTGAGAGTCTTTACAATTTTGCCCATCTTTCTCCCTGCTTTTAGTTGTCATCTTCTTTTTTTTTTCCCCATAGAAGACCTTATTGAGTAAGACTTCAGGGCCAGCTTTTGCATGAACCAGACAGAAGCAGATGCAATCTTTGTTACTTTCAGTGCCGCATCAGAAACTTGTGAGAGAGGAGTCTGGAAGATTTTGTCAGCCGTAATGCATTTTTTGCTTGAGGAAATCAAGAATAGAGCTATCAGTCCCTTTCCAAATGAGCATTTTTACAAACAGAAGGGTTGGAATGGTGATTGGGAAGGATTCTTCCAGGTGACTAAAGAATTCAGAGATAGGTAAACAGAACTAAGCTCCTCAGCTGTGTGGTTTGTTGCAGTTTTGGGGTTTGTTTTTTGAACTTGTACATTCCATTTCTAAAAGAGCGCTTAAAGTCAACTTAAATTCAACGCAAATTAGCAGTGGACAGGTAGATTTGTTAACCAAAATAAATACACAATGTTATAGTTTAATCGAGATGTATCGTCTGAAATTTGTTTCCTTGTGAGGGGAAATCCAGAATTTAAACAAAGAATGCTAATAATGCATAGACATAATAACTGCCAAGGGAGAGACTTGGCAACTTTACAAAAAAGAAATACATGCATTTTCTCATTGCCTACTTGGAATTCATTCCTTTATTCATGATCTGGTTGTAAAAGACAATTGGGAATTTTGATGAAAGCTTGTTTTTTATAGAATTGTCTGGGTCATGTTACGACACAAAGAATGGACCTGTAAATGAGAGATATAGAAAACCGCAATGTATTAGAAGAAGGAAAAAAAAAATAGAAAAACTTGAGAATACTTGCTGTTGTTGCAGGAGAGACTGATGTAATATGAGGAAGAGTATTCCCATCAACCCTTGAAATTACATGATTTCTCAGTTGGAAGTTACCTTTAGAAAGACGTAATTATAGTAGTACCATGCTATTTAAAAGTTGTACCAAGACTTGGGCTATAATATGATGCCTGTGCCAACCCTTGCAATGGTGTCAAGGTATATTATGGTCTTAAGGGATAAATGAAACTGGGATTGTAGGTGTATTGCACACATTTGGATTTGAACAGCAAAATTGATGTTTCAGTTGTTCACAATATTTAGTCAGGAGCTGATTTCCAAGGGCTTGTAACTTGCTCCTAATAATTTGAAAGGGGTATGTTAGCTTGATGCATAGTATCTCAGCCTCGTAGTATAGTCCTTTGCTTAATTTTTCACCTCTGGTATTTTGGATTTTCATTAGGCCCGTGTTAAGATTTAAGCATGGAATTTCCTACACCTTTTCAGTTAAAATATTTCTGGTTTGACTACTTTGCTTAAAAAATATTCATGTGTCTTTGAAGAATTGTATTTCCCTTTTTCTAAGTCGCATATATCAAGTTGGGTTCTGCTAATATATAATTAATGAAGAAAAATGAGAATTTCTGAAGAAGATTGGAAACACATTTTAATAAGCTTTCAGAAATTGATAGATCTTTGGGTGAAAGAAGGTCAACTTTCTTGGTCCTCTTGCTGGAGACAGACTGATTTGAACTTGGGATTTTGACTAGTCTTTCAACAAAGAGTAGTTCATAGGTTGCTTTTACTGACTGCTAACATTGATTTGTAAATTCATTAACAGCATGTGTATAGTAAAAGAAGAAAACTATGTTGTAGGAAAATAAATGGAAGTTGCTGCCAAAATAAAAAGAATGGTGAGTGCAACTAGCACAAATTGTTTGGGGTTGTTTTTCCCCATTTCATGTGCATCTAATGATTAGTTTAGGAGACAGTTTCTGAGCTGGTGATGTGCAGGGGAAGGTGGTATAAAGTCTGTAACAGGTTTGTAGCTTTTTGTAGGGACTTCTGGAGTCTGTTGTGGAATCAGCTGTGTTTTGCAGTTATACCAGACCAGATTTTGGTGGGTGGCTTAAGAGCAGGCAAAAGCGGCAGGCTTTTTATTTACTGGGGTGGATTTTTATTCTGTCATGCAGATAGTTGCCTGCTGGGGATCTGTCTGACTTCTGGATTCAAGTAAAACATGTTTCAGCTGCAGCTTCTCCCTCTCTTCCTTTCCCAAGAAAGCACAATATGCTATACATGAGTTGTGTGTTACAGAAGTCAAAGGTATGGTGGACTCCTATGGGTTCATGTTTACAATCTGTCTTGGGACTGAGTTGACTGGTCAGTCTGGCGGTCATTCTCTTTCTCTTCTGTAGCCTCCCAGTGACCTTGTCTGGTGTGTGTGTAATCTTTGGATATGTACTGGTCATTTGACCAGTTTGATAAAATTTGTGAGGACCTTGATTTTCCTATACTTTGTTAGTCTATAAAATGGATTTATGGAATGAAAATGAAATCTCGTATGAATCTCTTAACCCCTGCTATCTTTTGCCTTCTGCCAACTGCAATGCTGAGAACCAGATTTTCTGAAGAGTGCATATTTTTTCTGTATCTTTAAGGGTTTTTTTTTAAAAAACTTCTTCCTTTTGAAATGTCTCTCCTGTGCAGTGGCAAAGGGATTATTTTTGTAACTAGAAGGGATGGAAATTTACATAAGGAGAGGAAAAAAAAAACTTAGGCAAACTCAACAAACTCGAATTTTGTGCTGAGAATACCTGCTGTGTTCCCATTATAAACTCTCAGCTGTGAGCAGTTATAAACATCCTATCTGTGGGATAAGTTTCTTCTACTTTACCCCTTCTTTTACCTTTCTACAGTTGAGTATGGTGATTAGTTTCCCTTCAAAATCAATCTGCTGCAGATAAAAAAAGAGAAAAAAGAGAAAGGGGGGAAGAAAAGAAAGAAAAGCTTGCTAGAAAATACTTGTTTGGAAATTGCATAACCTGCCTCTCAATGTATTTAGAAACATACCTGATTTTCAGCCACATTAGGCATAACCTACCATCTTTTGAGTTACTGGCGAAGGTGATTTTGCACTCAGATGCTGGGTTGTGTAACGTAGCAGCCAAGGCATGGACACATATACTTCTGTTTTCCCCTTCCATGAGCAGTGACTTTAGACAGAGGGGACAGATGTATGTCTGGAGACGGTATCATCTCAAGCCACTGCGGCAGAGTCTCTAGATGGCCAACTGCCAGGGTGTTTGATTAGTGCTTGATACCGAGTGTCTCCCAAGGAGACCTGATAATCTTTGAAATACCTGCACTTAGGTTTTATGTTTCCGGTCGAAAGACATTCGGAGATTGCCTGTTACAAAGCCATAGCTGTGATTCAAGCAATTATGGTGGTGTTTCAATAAATAGCCTGAGTAACATTTCTGTGCTTCAGTTTAAGTCAGTGGCAGATTTCTGTCAGGGATTTCAGCTAGGTCAGATATTTCTCCACCAGCCTTTGATCACTTTAATTTCACCATTGTACTCCCGTCCAGTAAAACTAATTAAGGCTAAAAGTGGTTAAATTTGCTTTGAAAGCAAAGAGGATTTTTTCTTTAAAACTTGAAAATAATTACAAAATCGTATTTTAATTATCCACCCCAGTATTTTAAGGTGCGAAGTGTTGACAGCTAATACCTAATATTTCTTATTTCCCTGCTTTTGTTTTTAAGTGGCTATGCTTGCATGGGTTTTTTTATACACTTGACATACCATTAAGGAAACCTGATCTAAATTTAAGTTCTAAGTAAACTAATGACTGAAAATTAGTCGTCTTTCCTATTTAAATGGTTTGGTTGGCACAGCTTATATCCTGCTTATTTCAGAAAGTATTTGTGGATAAAATCTGAGTGTTTTTGCATCTCAAGGAGTGATTTCTGCCTGAGAATCTCTAAATCATTCGGACTTTCTCATTTAATGTTTTGAAATATTGATTAAAGGTATTCAGTCTCGTTTGCTTTAATCTGATTGCACATCTAGAAGTTTTCCTCTGATGTGGTGCAGCCGTGTCTGGTATAAGCCAGCTTAATTAGCACTGCTTAGTGATTTGGGACCCTTGTCAAAGGCTATGATGTTATCTAGAAGCATAAGGAGTTAAAGCTGAAGCTGTGACCTCATCTCTATTCATGTTACACTGGAGTAGAAGCTGTGCTGAAAGGGATTGTTTAACTGCATCGCTGTTCTTTGCTGCTGCTAGTTGATTGCTTTAATTTGGTTATGATATCTGTAGCGTGCTTTTGCTGCACGATGTTGTAGGGATTTGTGGGAATACTGGAGACATAGGAAGTCATGCTAGCATGTGGAAATAGCTCCCACAGAAATACGGAGGCTCAAACACATCTTTCTACCTGATTTTAACTTTTTATTGCTTCCCCCGTGAAAATTCAAGCAGTGTCAAGGAAAGCTAAAACACACGTACTTCTGGCCAGACGTGCACTTACGCAACTGTGCATGCCATTTATTACTTTATTACTTAGTGCTACGTATTAACTGAAGAGCGCAACTGCTGTCGCTTTAATGTCAGAGCGGCGTATGCTACAATAGGTGTCACTGTGTGGCTGGGTCCAATCGTTATCGGTGACTTCAGCTATTGGCTCTGAATGCTGGCTGACTCCATCTGCAGGGCTGCATTACCTACTCCGTTCCCATCCCTTCAACACACAAGTTCAGCTCGCCGAGCAGACGAGCAGTGCTACTGCGTGTCTTGCTAGCCCCCTTCAGAAAGCCGGTGCTACAGCCACGCGCATCCCCTCCTCACAGGGTGCAGTGCTTTCGGGCAATTGCTGCTGATCAGGAGATCTGGAAAGAAATCAAACTGGCAGGAATGATGGGGTTGTATTTAACGATTCAAGTACTGGATCAAACTTAAAGTCAGTTTCTTACTCGGTGTACTGGAAAGGTCACCTTGTCTTGCTGGAAAAGAAGCAAACTGTCAGCTCTGCTGCTCTCTGTTTAACAGCTTCCACGTGCATTTCTTAATGTTCCTGGATAGTTAGGCTATTTAGCTTTGCAGACAAGTATACTCATGGTAGATGAGAAAGGAAAGAACATGAAATGTCTCACCTTCTTCTTGATGCTTCCAGAGACGGTCAAGAACAGGTCCAAGAAGAGCTCTAAGAAGGGAAATAGCAGCAGCAGTAGTAGCAGCAAATTGCCTCCAGTTTGCTATGAAATCATTACCTTGAAGACCAAAAAGAAGAAGAAGATGGCTGCTGATATTTTTCCCCGAAAGAAACCAGCCAACACTAATACAACTGCTGTCCAGCAATACCACCAGCAAAATCTCAATAACAACAACACTATTCCGGCACCAAATTGGCAAGGACTTTATCCAACCATCAGAGAGAGGTAAGTTCAGGACAGTTTATTTTTGCTGTTTGAATGGAGTGCTGAAAAGTAGCAAAATGTTTGTAATGCATATGTTTAGTTATTCATTTATTTGCTGAAGAAAACACAGTTCTTGTTTTTTTTTCTCTTGTGTGTGTGATACAAATATTTTGGTAATGGAAAATAATTTAATACCTCTTTTCCAGACAGTGCAGCTGTTTGTCTTGAGTAAATAAAAGTGTTGCTGGAAGCTTCAGCATACCCATAAAGATTTGCTTTTAGACCTTGGTGGGGATGTTCAGTGATACATGCTCTTGATTTCCACTCTTTGAAAAGTTCTCATAAGTTTGTTTGTTTTTTTTTTTTTTATTGCATGCACAACCACATGT